CAGGGATCAACGAACGCTTTTCATTCCACTAATTTATTCGTGTTTTTCTCGTTCCCATGTTCCCACCAATAACGTAGCTCCATTTTCTGCCTTTAAAAGCACACACAACCCACATTTCCTCTATTCGCTCCGACGAGGGGCTAACGCTCGAAAGGTCAGCTTTTGTAATCGTTACGGTGGCCAATTTACCATTTCAACTTTGTTGATATATCCCAATTATTTCGTTACTCCCACCGACGCAGCCCCAAACAGTTTCTTTCGAAACTATCAACCTTTAAAGAAAAAAATTGTCTGCCAATGCTTTCCAATTCAAAATGATCGATTCTTACCTCTGTGCCTTTTGAAAAGCAGAGGTCGAATCGCTCTACCTTTTACTTTTCTTTTGCGGAATAACACAATATTTTTGTCAATTTCTTTTTAACTTGGTTGAACGAAAAAATCTAGTGACACTTATTTAAAAAAACAGTCTTTTTTCAGGGTTTTTGATACTGCGAAAGACTACAACATCCTAAATCATTATATATATATATATATATATATATATATATATATAAATATATATACTTGACTCTGATTCACTTGACTCTGATGCATGATGACTTCCGCACTCGTTGTCGAAACGTCAGTCACTACCACCAAAACAGTCCTCAGGATTACACTCACCCGGACGATCACACTACACTTTCTCAACATTGTTGGTTTGGTTTTTGTGTGTGGGGCAGAGGGAGGGGGAGAAAGAGGGGGCGAACAGTTTAACTTAAAGAAGGCGAAGAGTTAAAATCAGCTAAAAGGGTACAGAAAAGATCGAAATGTCAACATTTTTGTCGCCGATTATCTGAATGATCATATCAAAAATTTCTTACACAAAGAAGTTTTAAGAGAAGCCTGTATGTTTGATATTATGTTATCTGCTTCATGTTTACTCTCGTAGCTTTACTATGAGCACCTCTCAGTTTTCGCTTGTTAGGGTCGATTATGTAATTAACTTGTGACGTAGGTAAACACCGACTGCGACTGAATTTTAAACTTGGGCTTTTCTACGGGACGCCCAAGTTTTAAAATGTACTTGCTTCCATCCTTTGCAAGAAGACTAAAGCCAATTTTTTTTTCATTTTATTTGAAGACACAGCCATAATAGTGTTTCAGAATTAGCAGTTTCGATGAAGAGCCTCACGGCAAATACGTGTAACTTTCTTTCACAGAATTGGAGTACGCATAAATGCAAATCTTGTATGGAATTGACAAATCATGATTGAACTGTTACAATTTAAGATAAGCTACGAGGAAATGAATGTGAGGCATCGTGTTTTTTTCAGCTTTCGGACGATATTATCATTCCAACTGGAGACAGGTTTCTGTCTCATCATTAATTATAGCGTGTATATAAAGACGCAAAGAGAAACATGAAAGAATAAAACAACGATGATTAGAATAGAGATAAGATATCTTATCAATATTACCGTGGCACTTCAGCAAACCATTAAAGTCACCTAAGAATCACCCCATGGTATTTTGCAGTCGCTTTCAAAAGCACAGAGAGAACATCATATTGCCGAATCTTGTGTCGTATGATGAGACATTGATACAACGTTTGCGGCTATGTTACGCATGCAGCTTGACTCTGCTTCAAAGATATTCTGTTAGTGGGCCCGCTTCCAGGTCTGCCGATAGGCTGCGTCATTATGTCGATTCAGTTTGTGTATAGAAATAGAACATTTCTATATAGGCAATTCTTTAGCTCACTCATCCTTCACTTACCCGCTAGGGTAGAGACAACTGTAAAAACGAAGCTATAAACGATCATTTGGACCTTGCTTATAAAGCAGGCTTTTTTTGGCTTCATAACTGATGAAATCCCGGCACATACAAAACTTACATTGCATCCTGCGTTACATCTTGATTGAATAAACAGGCCATCATTGGTTGAAAGATGAACTGTAAGAAGCACCACAATGTCTCGCGTTTGTCACGCTAGACAATTTCATAAAGTCAAAATAGTTTCCATTATTTAAGTGTTTACGATTATTAAATGTTAAATTGTTCAAGCTAAAGGAATTCTAAATCTAAGTTAGGTTTAAGGAGGCAACGCTCAGCATCTTTAGATGTAATCAGTGCTCATTCCTCGGGTAAATTTTCACCATTACTCTATTGGGCTGATCCCCGGTGTAATAGCCACAACTGACGTCATGAGTCGCGCACTATCAAACTTCAAATAAGCATAACTCTGAGTCACGGTAATTGTGTGCGCGACTCATGCCGTCAGCTCTGGCTATTACACCGGGAATCAGCCCTCTATTGTTACCTTTCAACGGTCCTGATGGCATTTTGAAATTAATGCAAGGGAACCTTACCTGGTTAAGTAATGATAACGTGAGTGGCCAGAATATTTTGAGGGATCAACTGAACCTTACACATGACTGAATGTTATACTTTATGCTAAGACTAATAGACCGGGTTACTGATTTTAATCCAAAATTAATTACAATTTTGTGTTACATATAACATGATATTGTGACCCACTTTTAAAAAGGCTACTACTAGCGTTATACAATCAAGCTCGTACGCTATAATCGAAAGCTCAATCCAATGCAACCCAATTAATTTCTTTAATAAATACACATATAGTTATCTGCTCCTTAGCTAAGAGGAAAAAATAATGTCGTGCCAGGCAAAATTGCCAAACGGAACCAAATACAATGATTTGTTTAATCAGCGTTAAATCTCAGAATCTCCAAAAGTACCCCGATTCTGTTCTAATTTTCTTTTAATACGTGAAAACCTCTGCAGGCCTGCCAAGCTTGAATTTTTTTTTTTTTTTTTTTTTTCAAAAACTAAGGGGGTGTGCAATTCTTGGTCAATGAAAAAAAAATTCAATCGTTTATATATCCCCGGAAAACTGCACAAGAAAAATTATGAGATTACTTATTAATACATGTGAATCAATTGCAAAAATGTTTTATTTAAACCTTGCAAAAAAATCATACACTCAGAGAGGAAAACAGGTTTGTTAGTGTTTCAAGGCCTAAAAATACTGACTTAACAGTTCAAGGAAGACGTTATTAGGTATTGAATCAGATTAGTTTTTTTAAAGGAAATGTCACCATGATTAAAATGTTAACTTTTTGAAACAAGACTAAAGGATAGTGTGGTTTCAGAGACAAGAATACGAGGTGATGCTCCATGTCACGTTAACATCTATGCACGTTGCAAAGAAAAACTCGTTGTTCCACAAACCCCTCGTTTGAGGATTGTTTTGCTTCCCATATTTAGAAATGGACTTTTTTAAGCTGAAATGCATCGGACCGGCGCATTTACAGAGACCGTCTCATGATGAACTGTGTGAAAATTGAAAAAGGAAGGACTCTCTAATCTCCGCCGCACTCCAACCCTCCTAGCCTTGTAAATCAGGCAAATGCACTTTTTAAAAGAGCCAGATGACTAACCTATAATACAAATTTTGCAGCTCGTTTTAGAAGTTAGACCATAACATGGTGTTTACGATACGACCATCATCATTTCTAATTTAGATATGCAGACATTAGAGTTTCCTGATGTGTATGATCATGTCTGATTTCTTTTTACATTTATCTCCTCCCCCCTCAAAAAAAATACACATACAAAAAATTACGTATACAAGAAATTAAAAGCTGTTACAAAAAGGC